ATATATATATATTCCGCTCTAAACGGAGCTCGTCTTGCCTCGCGCCAGACCTTTGTCCGCGCGCCTGCCGCCGGTGCCATGTTGCCATGGCTCCCCTCGTGCCTCCGCTCCGCTCGCGCGAACGTTGAGAAATAACAACGTTGTGATGAATCAGCATCTCTCTTTCTCTCTGCCGCGAGCCGCACCACCTTCACACACACGCGCTCGCGCGCGCGCTCCCCAGCCCGTGCGGCAGGGCAGGCACAACCGACCCCGATGTCTGCGTTTTAAGCGGCGGCTTCGCGAGCGAAACCCCCCCTCCCTCTCTCCCTCCCTCCCTCCGAGCCGGAGGCCTGTCGGAGGTGGCTGACACAAAGCAAATGTCAGAACAGCCGCCGCCGCTGCAGCGGCAGCCGGGGGTGTTCGCTCCTAGCGAGCCGCCTGGACGTCTAGGAGCGAACACCCCGGTTGCCGCTGCAGCGGCGGGCGCCGCCGCTGCAGCGGCAACCGGGGTGTTTGCTCCCCGAGCTAGCCGCCGGGACGTCTGACAGCTACCGACACCGCGGGGTTGACAGCCGCGTTCTCGGTTATTTTCGGCTCGGTTCCGTCACACAGCGAGCACACCACAAGAAAGAAGTCCGATAAATAAAAGCGGAGGTCGGTGTAAAGAAAACACACAACCGTCCGTCTTACCTGACAGACGGCGGAGCGCGTCCAGCTCGCGCCGCTCCTCCGAGTGACAGACGGCCGGGAAGCTAACGAGGTGAACGGAGGGTTTCACCGCTCTGACCCCTTCTTAGTGTCGGCTTCTAAAACAAGGGAATCCCCGGACAGAGCGTCCTCTAATTCCAACACATGGCAGCTTATTATTATTATTATTATTATTATTATTATTATTATTGGTCCCTTTGTCTGTGTTATTATCATGAAATCACTGGTCGGTGGATCGAGCGAGGCGGTGCCAACCACACGGTCCGGGTCTCGGCAGAGATGCACCGGCGGGTGATGATTCAGCAGTACCGGAGAGGCTGCCCTTTAAACGGCAGGCGGCGACGGGACGGGACAGCGCGGCAGCGGCGGAACGCTCGCGCACACTCAGCGAAAAAGAAAGGGAAACACACACATCCACATTCAGCACTTTTTCTTTTCGAGGGATTTCAGTTGTGATATATATTTTAAAAAACCAGGCTGACTCACCAGAAGTCAAACCCGCGCCCTTTCTCCCACCGCTCCCTCTGGCTGGGTTTCACCGGCGGCTCGTCGACGCGGCGCGGAAAGAAGACGAGCTCTTTTGGAAGAAGCGTTTTATTTATTTTTTTTCCGCTCGCGCCTCTTCGCGGGGGCTCTACATATATCCTGTCGTTCCTCGCTTGTTTTTAGTCTGTGGTCAGAGGCGCCAGACGTCAAATGATGTTTGAATCACATGGTTTCATTCATGAAGGATCTACGCAACCCGCTTTTAAAGAGACACGAGGCTCTACTATGCGCGTGTTTTTTTTTTTTTTTTTTTGACAACAGGCGGAGCGGAAAGTGTGACAGGACAGCTGTGCACACGTCTAAACTTAGAGCATTGATCCTGCAGCAAGGCTGGATTAAAAACACTCATCCCTGTCATTCTTCACAGCTGCTTTGGAAAATTTAACGCATTTTAGTCCCGCTTATAAATAAAACTAGAAAAAAAATCAGAAGAAATTTAATCAATTTACAGACAAAATGTCAACATCAATTTTATAATCATCTATGCCAGAGGAGCCCAAAGTGGGGCCCGCGGGCCAAATTTGGCCCATCAAGCCATTTGATTTGGCCCACCAACACTGCAGTTGCCAAAGTTACAAGGTTGTAACCTGTCATCCTATGTAGAAACACAGTGTTTCCATTGGTCAAATGACTATATAAAAGGGCTGTAGTGAAGGTTTTCATTCATGGTGCTGACATATCTTTGATTTAATAGGATTAAACGTGAAACATGAAATGACAAGAAATATTTAGATCAGATCTAACCTCACATGTAGAGTTGTACACTTTATAAGGCCACAAAACTCATATTTTATCAATTTATATAACGTCCCATGAGCCTTTCCTACACATTCTCACTCCCAACTCGTCACATATTGACGTTTAAGGTAAGGTTCCCTCTGCGTCTTATTTGGACGCAGAAGGTACCCCCCTCGCGTCACTCCTTGACGCCCACGGCTTTTCCGGGTTGCGCCACCAGGGGGCTTTGGGGCGGGTGTCTGAGGTTAACATGAGGGATCGGGTTTAATGGTTAAGTTTAGGTACTGGGATCAGGGGTAGGATGTCCATGGTGAATATTAGGTCATTTTACGCTTTAGAACATGTTCACCTGAATTTCGTACATTTTCTAAAAATGGTTAATTTTACCTACTAGGGTCAGGGACAGGATGTCTAAAGTGAACTAAGGTAATTTCAGGCTTTGGAACGGTCGTTTTTGCGCATTTTATACACTTTCTGAACATATGACAACAGCTTCCGCCCCATCTCGTCAGTAACTGACGTGAGGGGGGTACCCTGCACGTCAATATCGGACGTAGAGGGAACCTTGCAAAACGTCAATATGTGACGAGTTGGGAGTGAGAATGGGTTGGCCTTTCCTACTTGAGCGTATGGCAGACTTTCTCCAAGTGCACAGACTAAAACAAAAGAGGGCCATTGCACAGCTTAATGGTTTAAAATAAAGGACTTTTTTTTAAAAAAGTATTTGTATTTCATGTATTATATAACTGCATTTGGCTTGCAGCCATGGATAGATTTTCATTTTGGCCCCCTCGGGGAAAATGTTTGGGCACCCCTGGTCTATGCAAAATAAATGGCCCAACGTTTCGATGTATAAACTGCAAAATAATTTCAAAGAGAAGCAAGATCGAAACAAACATTAAAGCTGCTGCCACGGTAACCCTGAGCCTCTCACTCCCTGACCTGCAGAGCGGCTGACTGAAAAGTAAGCCTCAAACAAACAGTCGCTGTAACGCAAAAAAAAAAAAAATGCCACGTTTGATTTTAAAATTGTATGTTTTCAGTGTTTTATGTACAATTTGTCCACCTTCACTTCTGGTTTGGAAAATAATGCTAAAATAAAGCTCAAGTCTTTTGAAGCTTGTACGTGTGCACTGACACTCTTTGGGTGGGAGAAAACCACAAATGCTTTTGCAGACAGAGAGAGACATCGGTTGAAAGAAAACCAACATACCTGCGTTTCGTGGTATAAATTGTATGGGCCATAAAAGTTGTGGGAGTAAGAAGAGTTTGTTTGCAAAAAATAGAGTGAAAATTCAAAACTTGAAGTGTAACATCAACTCTCAGTCGAATATACTAAACTTAAACTGCAACGGTGTAAAAATCTGAAAAGATTCAGACGTGCAAAGTCCACTTTCTGTGACCTGGATAAACTTTGAAATCTCAGAAGTATTCCTGAGCTCCAAACAGAGCTGGCTTTCCTCATTTTGCCAACATCCAGTTTTCCTCAATGTGGAATTATTCAGCATTTTTGTTTGTTTGTTTTGTAAAAAAATGTTATTGCTCTATATACTGCAGAACGTTGGAGGGAGAAGTAATAAATCAACAATTGTAACAGAGGAAACCACAACGATGCTTTGCTTCACTGGCTCCCTGAAAAAAAAGATAATTTAACAGAAAAAGTGCGCCTTTCATATATCACATATCAAATATGTTCCCAAATAAATAAATAAATAAATAAATAAATAAATAAATAAATAAATGTTCTCCTTATCATTTTTGTGTTGCCTAACAGCAAATCCAACGTCTATTAAATTTTTACAGTACATTTCAGTTGTTGCACTTCCTGTTCAAGAAGGATGTGAAATGATAGTTTAAACAAATAATAAGTTCTTTGGTTTAGTTTCCGGACGATAAATGTTCACATTACACAACGTGTCTTCAAACCACAGAAAAGAAAAGGAAAGCATCCTCCATTGATGATGTTGTTTGAGGTAAATTATTAAAGCAAAAAACATTTTGAATGCATTTTTAATAGAAAAATATTTATTAGTGTTGTGCTTTGATAAACAATAAAACGTTATTTATATAAACAAATCATGCATCGTACACCATCGGTCCTTATTTGGAGAAACAAAACTAAACCTAATAGGCCTGAAGTGCACCATCACCGTCCATTTCCATTTCAGAGGAATTAATGACTTGCATACAAGCCCAGGAAGCACTCAGCCATTATTAGCAGCCTATTTCCTGACAATGACACAGAAATAGCCTGTTCTTAGTTACTGATGAACAAGTTAGATACAAGTTAAACATTCAAAGTCTCAAGGCTAATTTTTTTTTTTTTTACAAATGAACCCAAATCTGGAATGAAAGGACAGCTTGTGAAATAAATATAACAAATATAGTAAATAGGCACAAATGTCCAGATGTTTCAGCACATTTATGTTTGATTATGCTGTTTGTTATTTCTGACTCTATCTAGACAAATTGGCTGGTTATATTAAAAAAAAATTCAAAACATGTAATTTCTGTTTTCTTCACTGGTTGAAGTTTTTTTTTTTTTAAGAGTTACACTTACAGTTTTTGGAATTATGTTTGATTAGTGGGTTTTAAAATAATCACATCTGTTTTACATTTTGAATTTTGATTTATTTGTATTTCATAAACTGATCTTAATTCAGCTTTTAAAAGTTTGCAGGAATAAAGAAAATATGAGAAAGCATACTTTATTAATGTTTGTTTGCTGCACTCAGTGAATACTTTAGGTGGATCACGCTGTAAGCATATTTTTAGAGATGCACATTTTCCCACTCTTGTTTGGAATAAACTTAATCTGAAACTGTGAACAAATTTTATTTTTAACATAAAAAGTCTTTGGTCCACTGTGCAAACCGACTTAAACAGAAGCTCATAATGCAGATTCATTGATGCGGTGTGGTAACAATCAGAGGTTCCTCTTTCTGCAACCGTTCCTTTAGTCATTCAGCTGCACAAGACTGATATTTTATCAGCATCAAGATCACTGTCATGCACACGTCCCACACTTACACAAACTAATATCCACACAGAACTTCAGCAAAAGGATGGATAATGGGAAACAAACTCCTGTTTTTGTGTTTCATGTTGAGAAATATTTGGTGTTCAGCAGAAAACATTTTCTCAGCAAAATGTTGGAAAATATGTTAAACTAAATATCATGAGCAAATTTTATACTGTCTTTCTCGACTGGACGTCTCTCCACTTTGGTGTTGCTGCTACAGCTTTCTCCTGTTTCTAATCTTACCTGCCCGACTAAGCATTTTAGGCAACATTGGTAACTCTTGTTCGTGTGCCTCAAGGCTCTATGCTGGGACCACTTCTTTTTTATACTTCTTCCCCGCTGTCAAATCATCTCCCACGGTCCTTGAGAAAACTAGTTAAGCGTCTCAGTCTCACTTTAAGCGTAGTGAGTAAATCGTGTCAGTCTTAGAGCTGATTTATGACCCTTTGCTGTGTCACAAAGCTGATCCTGGATGATGTCATTACAAAGCCCCCATCATGGATCAATCACTGCATCGGATTTCATGTTCAATATTCTCTGAGAAATGACAAGATAAAATTGCGAAAATCCTAACATAAGTTCACATTCAACAAAATAATGCCCATTTATGCTGTGACTGTCTGTAAATTGCATAAAATGCCTTCATTTATATAATTAATAAAGAAAATTTAGCGGATTATTTCACAAAACTGCAGCTTGAATTTTTTTTTTTTTTTTACATTTCAGAGCCTGAGGAAATGTTGAGCTTGCACCACCCTTCTACACTAAACTGCCCACAGACAATATCCCCTTCCGAGAGACCCCCCACCACCCCCGAACACCACATGTGTATTGTGTGCAAATAGCCTTTATTTACAGATTTTGTTAAGTTTGAGTTAAAGAAAGAAAGAAGACATGTTAAAAGAAAATTTTAATCCCAGTGTGTGTAATGTAAATCTGTGGATCTGTGTTTGATTACTCTGGGTTTCTCATGGATCCCGATGTGTAACACAAAAATCTGAATTACAGAACTGAAACTGAAAGTAGTCAAACTGAAAATTTAATACAACAAAATACAGTTTCCAAGCAAATCAATTCAAATTCAAAACTTTAAATTCAGTTTCAATTTAGTGAAATTCATTTCCAAACCAATGCATTCAGTTTCAATTTATGCAAGTGCAGATTCAATCTGAGCAATTCAAATTCAGTTTCTGTTGGCACAAGTTTCTTCCCATAGACTCCAATGAGCTCATACCCCAGTGGGTACACAGGGGTACTCAAATGTTTTTGGTGGCGACAATTTTTGACCATTTTACCATTACACACAGGACACGGCCCGATTTCTTACGGGGACAAAAGCCCGGTCCCCATAAGAAACTGTACCTGTGAGGTTAGGTTTAAGGTAAGGGGTCAGGGTTAGATTGTAGAAATGACCAGTAAATTAACAGAAGTCAATGCA